GCAGCCACCAGACCATGCTGTCCAAGGCTGATCTAAGTCATTTGTGCAACTTGATTAGCATAAGTGACTACAAGATTGTAGGATCTACCTTTTTTCTTTCAGTAGGACTCTGTGAACCACCATCCAAAGAGAGATGCAAAATACATACACTTAGAATTAATTAGTTATCAGTCCAATAATTTGTTGGGTTGTTGTTTTATTTGATCAGTGGTTCCCAAACTTTTTTTTCAGATCACTGCTCTCTTGGTTCCATAAACTCATCCCCAGTGCTCCCTACCATACTGTTTTTAAAAGCATTATTCAGAATAGTGGTTTGCACTAAGGAAGATAACAGCACAATTAAATCCCAAATGGTAACCATTAATTGCAATTAAATCCAATTAAAACTATTTAGTTTAATTCAACAAACCTGATAATCTTGATCCAGTGATACTAGCTTTTCAAAGTATGATAGTCATTTACACCTCCAACTTACCCTGCTCACCATGGGTGTAGCCAGGATTTTTGTTAGGGGGGCAGGACTTGGGGGGGGGGGCAGGACTTTTGCTAAGGGGGCAGAACCAATGTGAGTGGTCAGTTAGTTAAGTATTTCTATTGTTTTGCTTGATCTGGGGGGGGGGGCAGCTGCCCCTCTGCCCCCCTTGGCTACGCCCATGCTGCACACCCTATTGCTTCTAAGTGCCCCACTGGGGAATCCCACTGCCCTCCCCCCAGGAGGTGGCACTGCACCCAACTCTCTCGGGGAGAAAAGGTGTTTCATTTTGTTAAACAACTAGGAGTAACATAGAATTATTCCTCCCCCAACAAAAACTTTCTGAAAACTTTTCAGGTACTTTATTTTCCCAGGGAAGATTTTACCATTTCATAAATCCTCCAGCGCCTATTGCAAATTAAGTATTAGGCAAGCTTCAATGTGTTTTGGTTTGTTCTAAGAGCATATGAGAAGCCTTCTGGATCTAGTCAGTGGTCCATCCAGCATTGTGCCCACAATGGACCAACTGGATGTTTCAAAGATAAGCTCACAAGCAAAACCCAAGTGCAAAGCGCACTACCTTCTGCTGTGGTTTCCAGCAACTGGTATTGAGAAGCATACTATCTCCAGTTGTGGAGGCAGAGCATAGTTGTCATGGCTAGAAGCCATTGATATTGTCCATGAATTTGTCTAATCCTCTTTTAAAATTCTCCAATGACAATGGTTTGTTTACTGAACAAAATACGCATGTTAAATTGGGTTGTTGTAGGGCATGAGGAAATTTTTCAGTGCAAACTGAAATCTCTCCCTAATGCAAATTACCCCAAAGACACAAGGATCCTGCCACTCCTGCTTCGGTGCAGGTGGCAGATGCAGTGAGATACGTCTAGAGACACTGCCTCATGAGCTTCTGCTGAGGCAGCTGCCTCAGCCCACCTCCTGTGCAGGCCAGCCCTGGGCCCCATAATGGTGCACCAATGCCTAAGGAGGTTGTTGTGGACATGTCCCCAGTTCTCAAGTCAGCATGCATTCCGGCATTGTTTCCACCCCTGTCTGACTATCCAAATGAACTAAGATTTTGAATGAAAATCAGGGATTGCCAAATCTGCCGTATTGCTACATCAGGAATAACATAGCACATATGATGGCAAAATGGCCTAGTCTGCGAGGATGGCATTGCCTAACTTGTCCCTTCTTTGACAGAGTATGGCTCAGGTTTCGCAAGTAGGATATAAAAGTGGTGAAGCCCCTGTTGAGACACACAATCACTTTTGCTGTGAGTGACACCAAGGGACAAGGATACAGGCCAGCCAACCAATTGTGAATCAAGTGAAGGCAAAGAATTAGAGGGCTTCCTCCTCAGGCAGATGCAAGGAAGAATATTGCAATGAAGCATGCTTTCCTCCTGGGTCCATGGAAAGGTGCAAAGGCAATGCTTTCATGCTCATGTTAAAGGAAATGAATCATAATGTCACCACAAAAGTTGTTCCTGGAACTTGGGTTAACCAGCAAATGCTTCCAGACCTCGCAACTGGCAGAGTTAAAAGTTTCTGATGGGATTCCATTGTGGATAGATGTGATGGCTCTGTTCTACGGGTATGGTGGTGTCACAGCCAGCAGTGCTTCCAGTGAGACTTCATTGTTAGGCACATTCAATCACTGGAGGGTACCATGAAGCAAATTGCAGCAGCTCAAATGGCATCTGTGATCAATGAGGATGACGGGAAATAAATGGTTCAGAAAAAATGTGAGTGCTCGATGTGCTTCTGAAACAAATGAGGATCTCTGCAGTTTCCCAGAATCCCATGTAATTAATGACAGTGCTCAAGAGAAAAACAAATTTAGTAGCAATACCCAGGTCAGGAATGCAAACAGTGTACTAAGTACAATTTTGGGGAATGATGACAAGGTGATTGACAGATAGCAGAGTATAATTGTACCAGAGTTGACAGTTTGTGAACAGCCAAAGAAGTGCATGGAACCATCCCAGTCGAAGCCCCTCTGATGTTTCTTCTTATCCGGCAATCACTTACAGTGGTACCTCTGGTTACGTACTTAATTCATTCTGGAGGTCCGTTCTTAACCTGAAACTGTTCTTAACCTGAAGCACTTTAGCTAATGGGGCCTCCCGCTGCTGCCGCACAATTTCTGTTCTCATCCTGAAGCAAAGTTCTTAACCCGAGGTACTATTTCTGGGTTAGCGGAGTCTGTAACATGAAGCGTATGTAACCCAAGGTACCACTGTATAGTCAAGTAAGATGACAATGAGAACTGGGGTGGTGGTAGGAAACAAGAAAACAAAATAATCAGAGTGGTGGCACATGGACCTCAGTCAGGCCAAACTTGTACTGTCCAACAGTCTCCTGACAAGACTAATTGAGAACAGTTCGGGTAAACAAGGTATTAACAATAGTAATAAATACATGTGCCTTTGATTCAGTCTTACAGATATTCTGTGCCAATCAAATGTAGGAATTTGTGGACAGTGTGAATGAGTTTACTTTGGGCAACAAAGCATCAGGCATAGTGAGAAAGGGTGTGCCTGCTCATACATATAAAAGAAGGGCAAGTTCTTTGTATCTGGCAGATTTATTCCACCATGAACCACTGCCAGGTGGTATTGCTAAAATCAGCTGTGAAACTGCAAAATGCAGCTTGGTTACCGGAATTACTGCAAAATTTTACAAGTGTGAAAGAAGGTAGCAAATGTCCAGAGCAGCAAAGGGCAGAGTACAGCCAAGCCACACTCATTTACCAGGACCGGAACTAGAAGAACTGGAGGTGTTATTGGTGGAGGTCACACAGGAGAAATACTGTTGCTGGCACCATAAGAAAAGGGCTACAAGCAGAATGCCAGCAGAATGCAAAGGTGACAGAACCAGAAGAACTGTGAAATCCTTCTCTCTGTAGAGGTTACCCAACCTAATGACAAGACTCTGCTTCAGTGCATTGTGCAAATTGGAAAGACACCAATCCAGGCAAAACTAGGTGATGTGACATATGTTCTTAAGAGGTGCTGTGGGCTTCTTGAGGAACTGGTAACACTGATCAGTGTGAACACCATGGAGCATTATGTGGCACATTGTCAGAGACATGATGACATGTGGGAGGAATATGATGACCTAAGGAACAATAAGTCATTATGCAGCAAATACAAATAATTTGGCACCTGCTGATTTACAGTGCATAGAAACATACAAGTTTGGTAGAGGCTGCTGCAAAAACAACTGCAGAATTATGGCACAGGTTTAGAGTAGATCAGACAGTGTTGGATTTCAAGTGGTGTAAACTAGGAATTCCAGTTTGATATATCAATTACTTCATTTTGAGGGCACTGAAAAATGACTGAAATATTCAGCACAGGTTTGGAATGACTCAGACAAAATTGAATTAATTGCTTTAATTGCATTATGTATCATGCAATTTTGGTGGCGCTGCAAAAATCTGGCATAGAATTGGAGGGGATTACAAATTTTGGGGGGGGGGGTCATAGTCAACACAGCTCCATGCCACCAAAAGACTGCGGAAGTTCCTTCAGTTTTTGAAGCAGGGGTGGGAGAAATCTAGGGAGCTAAAATTAGTATACACAAACACCTCAGACAACCCCTGGCCATTTTAACAGTAAAGTAAGACAGCTGTAAAAGGCAACTGGACAAATGCCAGCCCTCCCCTCCCCTCTGGGGGCACTCACTCCACCAGACAGCCTCAGGAAGGAAAATAAGCTGAGCTCCTTACATTATCTTTGCTGGGGGCTCAGCTCTATTAGGCACCTCCTCTCCCTCAGCTGTGCCAGCTGGACATTATAGGAACTGTTTAGCAATTGGTACCTGAGTTTTTATTTTACTCTTCCCTTGACAGTAAGCCTACAGGTAGGGTCGGTCTCATTTTGACTATATGTTAGCTGCTCCTGGAGTCCTTTTGGCTGAAAGGCAGGCAAGAAATGCTCTAAATAAATAAATAAGCAAGGAAGCAGAGGCAATAGCTACATCGCTGCTGTTGCTGTGGTAAACTGCCCTTGAAAGTGGAGACCTTCATTCAAGGGCAGTTTACCATAGCAACAGCAGCAACAAGTGAAGGTTGTTCCATTCATGTTTTGTTTTAGGGAACAGGAGCTATACAGGTGTTTAGTATTAATCTAAGAACCAGAGATAAGTCCATCCATCCTTCCTTCCATCCCTCCCCACCCACAGTTGTCTTGCAACATGCCAAGTTCCTAAAAGCAACTTCAGCATTCAAGTTAGTCCACAGGTTGTGCAAAAGCTGTTTTATACTAGGCTTTGGTGCACATACACTTGTGTTAACCATTTGGGGCCTAAAAGGAAAAGAAACCAGCTTGTTTAAAGCTTTCCTGCCTTTCTCCATAAGGAACCTGGCAATTTGCTATTTAGAAACCTGATTTCACTGTACAAGTTACGGGTAGGTAGCCGTGTTGGTCTGCCATAGTTGAAACAAAATAAAAAAATTCCTTCCAATAGCACCTTAGAGACCAATTAAGTTTGTTCTTGGTATGAGCTTTCGTGTGCATGCAGGTGGTGCTGTGGGTTAAACCACAGAGCCTAGGACTTGCCGATCAGAAGGTTGGCAGTTTGAATCCCCGCGACGGGGTGAGCTCCCGCAGCTCGGTCCCTGCTCCTGCCAACCTAGCAGTTCAAAAGCACATCAAAGTGCAAGTAGATAAATAGGTACCGCTCCGGCAGGAAGGTAAACAGTGTTTCTGTGCACTGGTTCGCCAAAAGTGGCTTAGTCATGTACACCAACTCCCTCGGCCAATAAAGTGAGATGAGTGCCGCAACCCCCAGAATCGGTCACGACTGGACCTAATGGTCAGGGGTCCCTTTACCTTTTTAAAGCAAAGGTCAAGAGCACATCTGCAACAAAGCTTTTAATGTGGGCTTCATTGCATTTCTGAATGAAAATACAAACAAGTTTTCCTCCATTAATCACTTTTAATGTTTGAAAAAAATGAATGCATGTCCCAACAAGATTAGAAGAGTACCTCTATCTGCATTTTTTATTTGAAAGCTACTCTAAGTTGAAAGGTATGAATAGTCTGTGGTAGAGGAACAACCTTGCACATAAAATTTTGTACTTATATATAATCTACTTCAGGCAGCAAAGGAGAGGGAGAAGAGGTGCTATGAAATCCTTCTCTAGCTGAAAATGTTTTATTAAAGCAGCAAGACTGTTTGTTTTTGCCTGTATAAAGCCAACTGAAAACTTACCTTTTATATATCCAAGATTATGCAAATATCAAGAGTCTGTAAGCAAAAGCAACATACAGTGCTGTTTTGCTCAGTAAAACTTGACTCTTAGTATGTATGGGACAGGGAGAGGGAATTGTTTGATTTATAAAGGAATTTCTAAATTAACTGCCTTAACAGTTTTATGTATAGATAAATTCACAGGATTCTAAGCTTGATAAAACCACTCAGTCTGTAATTTTAAAAATTGAACAGATACACTGTTAGTTTCTCTTCCACCTCAAAGGAAGGAAGAAGTGGTACCATTCAATTTAACTGTTATTTAGAAAAATACACAAGCCACTACTTGAGGGATTTATGCTGAAAGCTGTAGGTTCCCAAAGAACAGGCAGAACAATAAAAGTACTTTGCCCGCAGAAAATACATTGTATACATATGCCTGTAATACACGATCTGGGGGAGAAGCAAACTTATTACAAAGCTGCCAGTAACGTAAAACATTTGGTTCTCCAGTTGTTGCTTGGACCACAATTCCCATCCTCCCCAACTACAGGCCATGAAGATTGGGAATGATGAGAACTAGGCATCCAACAACCTATGGAGGGTTAAAGGTTAGCCACCCCGATGTAATCAATTACTGTTTTGCAGGGTTGGGGCATCAAAGAGATCTGTATTTTAGGAAGAGGTCCCTGTAGCACCAAGTTTTTCAATTTGTGTCTTTTCAGTGGTACCCCTACACCCAAGCAGTGAACTATGAACACCCCATTTCTATCTGTTGGGCTGTTTTGGGTGTCATGCTGTGACTTTAATACTGACGGGGGCAGTTCTTTGCTATCTTGCTCACTCTGCAGGGGAGAGTCACACCAATGCATTATTTCTAACCATAATGGTTTTCATTCCAAAGGCATTAGTACAGCAGTGCAATTAAAACTTTATTGATCTATACAAAAAGCTTTACATTTTTAAAAACAAAAGTGTGTTCATTTATAACAGGCATAAGCAATTAACATATTTCCACAGCAAGATAAATATCCCCATTAAAACTACCAGCTCATTCTATGGCATACCATAGTGTTGGGCTAAAAACAGCTGTACAGTGGGAGAGGGCTAATATTAGTGTTATTTACATTGCCATGTTCAATACCCTATACAAGGAGGGAACTAAATCATATTCAGGGGTGCAATTTTATTGTTCAGTTTTTGTTTTAATCCACAGTGAAACATGAGCTGTATATGTAGCTGAATGATTCCAGTCATATTCTTCACAGGGAAGAGCAGAATGTTGGGATCTTCAGCATTCACCACTCACTGGGATGGGAGAGGAAAGATGTGAACCTTGTTTGTGCTGGAATAAACTGAGAACACAGCAGGCAAGTGTCTTTGGGCAAATGTAGTGGTGTTTGTTTGTTTTGCTCACTTGCTTTAACTGATGACACAAACCCAGTATTATTTTCAGAACCTTAATCAAGAAGGTTCCCACTAGTGAGGGTTGTTTAAAAAAAATAAATCATTTTGGGAGGATTGTTTTACATTTATACCTACCACACAAAAAGTGGCCACAGAAAGGTGGCTTCTTTGCCCACTGCTAGCTCATCTTGTGCACTCAGCTCAAAGTTCACACCTTGCTTAGACAACACTCTCTCGGTTAGCAGAAGCCAAGACTGCTCGGCGGCAAATTGGGCAGGTAGAGTTTTCCGACAGCCAGCGATCTATGCAGTGCACATGGTACTCATGAGAGCATGGGAGCTTCCTCAGTTTGTTCCCCTCTGTGTATTCTGTAATACAGACACTGCAGGTTTTCAAAGCATCACTTTCACCAAAATTTCTCATGGCTAGGTTGTCAATTTGCTCCTTGGTGAGGCCTCTGGGTTGGTCATCGTCTTCTTCATTAAGCAGAAAAAACTGAGCCAGGCTCAGGAATGGGAGTGAGCCACTTTCTTCAAAAGTAACAGAACCCCTGGCATTCCGTCCTTCTCGCCTAGCACTAGCTGTGGATGCCCCTTCATTACTGCCTTCATATGCCTCTCCTGGTGCTGAAGGATCAGGACCTTCATGACTTGAACCACTACTATTTCCACTGACACCTCCACCCTGCGGTTCTGCCATTTCAACATTTGGGGTTGGTGCTGGGCCACCAGGCTCTGCATCGCTATCACTGTACATGAAGTAACTGAGCTCACCAAAGCCAGTCATTATCTGCCTTAACATGGTTTGAATGGCAACAGACGTCGTCTCGCTCAGGCCTGTATTCAAAATTCTACGGATAGGAATCCTAATGGTACTGACGTAAGTTCTCACTCCTGCCCTTTCTGAGCGTGAAAATGTGCGTCTAAAACCTCCACGCTCACTTTCGTATGTCACAGTATTGTTTGGGGTCTGGGATCTTGATCGGGTTCGGTTGGCTATACTGTCTCTCTGCCTGTATTCTCCTGGACGAACTCGTCTCACTTGTAAGTCAAGGACAATAGTTGGAGGCCTCTGTCCAGGGGCTGCAGACTCTGCACTGCCATTTGTTTCTGGAGGAGCTGTTGCTTGAGGAGAGGGTCTTGCTTCAGGAGTTGAAAATAGCACTGTATTTTCACTGGGCATCTCAGATGTAGTTGTATGCTGCCTTATTACCATATGCTGTCTTGTTCTAGAGCTCCCTTCAGCTTCACTTACTGGGGGAAGGTCAGGTGTCTGAGAAGATATATTATGATGCACCCGACGTGCAGATTCATTCATTGGATTAAGGGGTGACCTACTTCTATCAGTCCTAGCTCGTGTCCTCCGTTGTTCTGGACTTCGGCTTCTTGATCTCCTCAGGCCTCTGTGAGGAGCAACTGCTTCATTTATCACTTCAGGGGGACTAATTTCTGGTCCAGGCTGCCCTACAACAGGAGGAGTCTCAAATCTTGGAGTCTCAGCATCACTTTGGTTATTTTCCACTTCTTCTCTGCTGGGCGGTTCCACAGATGGCTCACCCTCAGTTTCAGGATTTGGGTTACCATTATTACGATTGACGTTTATTTCTAAACTGAATCTGAAATCCCCACTGTTTGGGTTAGTCCGGCTCACTGCCCTCCAAGACTGGTTTCCTCTTTGCCCACTTCGTGTTGTATTCCCAGTCTGTCGAACTGAGTTAAGCCAATCTATTATGGAATCACCATTAGATACATCTTCTGCGGACTCTGCACCTGCAAGACAAGAGTAACTGCCAGAGTTAGGAAACTGGAGAAACTCTGGGTTAAACACTTTCCCAACATTGCTATGAGTTTGGGTTTTGAAAACAAGTCTGAGCCATGATATTTTCACATGCATGTATTTACTGTAGGAACCATAATGGTAATTATAAATGCACTCTAAGAGACCCTGTAAGCTCATTGTGTCTCACTAAGTTGATAATAACAGCAAAGCTGCAGTAAAAATCATTAAGACAGGTTAACTCAATCCAGGGTGCATGCGATTCAAATGTCTATTCAGCAACAGAAACCTTGTCAGGCAGTCGTTAAGGTATCAGTTTTGTAAGGGCTAAGCAATATGAAAAGGAATTGTGGTACTTGAAAGCAGTGGTGTTTAATTTCTTTTGGGCTGAGGGCCACACTGGCCCATTAGTCAACTCTCAGGAGCAGCATGCCAAAATGGACATGGAGAAAGTGTAAGCATTAACAAAATAATAATGATGACACCATTTTGGAGTCTTATGGAAGTCACAAGACATTTAGAGCGCAGACTCATAGGAGGGAACATGCAGGAGTGGTTGGATTTTTTTAAAAAGACAATTAGTTCCCCACCCTCATTCTGGGTCCAAAAGGACCTGGGCACTGGCAATCACTCATCAATTGGATGCACCTAAAATGGTCACCACCTGTACTTTTAACTATGGCAGAGGCAGCAGATCCAATCTGTGCACCACCTCTTAAGATGAAACACCTGCAGCAGGGTCCTATGCACACTTACTTAAAAGCTTTCCCACTAAGGCCTGGTTTCAGTGCAACACCAAGTAGATTATCATCCATGCATAAGCTAAGAATCTTATTTAAACCAGGCCTGCAGCCACTGTATGTCCAATGTTAAGCATGCCAGTGCAGAAGCTAGCTCAGAAAATATATCAGACATGTTCGCTGCCTGGAAAAATCATGTTTGAATCATTACTTCTTTTAACAAGACTTAGCTCCTAGTCAGCATGCTTTGTTCTTTCATTCCATTTATGATTAATTGCTTCTTATAAAACATCTCAGGGATTTAATAATAATGTCATCAACAATAAAATGTTGAGGCTTACAGGCTACTTCCCAGGTATGAAGTTGCATGAGAGGAGAAAGAACAAGTAGCCTCAGTCTGACAGAAGGTAAAGGTCAATAAAATGATGTTTACAGGGATGTGAACAAACAAACAGATCTATTTTTTTTAAAAAAAAAAAACATGACACAATAAAGCAGCCAATGGTGGGACTAAGTGCAATCCCAGGAGTACAATGATAGAATTTGTTTTATTTGACATGTTGCACATCCCTGGCTTCAGAATTTCTATTCCTCCAATTTCTAACACAATTCCTAATGTAAAATGTTTTACCTCAGCTGATGCTGTCAGGTGGCTTGTTTTCTTGAAATCAAACCACATGGGCCAATGCACAGTGCTTTGCAAGTGCAAATGATCACTGCACCACTTGCAAACTGCAGGGTTTGGATGACCAGCTGATTGGTGATTTTTGCAAAACCCAAATTCAGTGTCAGGTGGGCGTGGCCTGGCCAGAACTGTTTTATTGGCCAAATGAGAAAGTGGTCTGATGGGCCCACAGGCTAAAGCAGAGGTTTTCAACCTTTTTGGGTCCATGGCTCCCTTGACCAACTACATTATTTCTGCGGAACCCCTGTGGGGCTCAGGAGTTCAGTTATGTCACCCCTTACCTGCAGAGCCAGCAGCCCCTCACCCCTCCCTTGCCGAGTGTTCCCTCATCCTCCTCTCCTCGGGAGTCCTTTGGGCAGCTGCAGCCGCAGCTGCTGCCCCTGACCTCTGAGCTGCCTCCCTTGCCCCAAAGAGAAGTGCCTCCTCACACTGCTCCACAGGGGCCTGGGAAGCACCCCCTGGCCAGCACCAGAGGCACCATTCACCTGGGCAGCTTGAAGCCAGGGCTGCTGCAACAAACATCTGTGCAAGCCTTTGGGAGGCAGAGATGTGATAGGGCATCAGAGGAAGGGAGGGAAGAAAAGAGGGACAGAGGCCAGCGTTGCTTGCAGCACCCCTGACCATCATTCAAGGCAACCCAGGGCTAGAGGTTTCTTTTTGCTGCTCTCAATGAATATTACATACCTCTATTGTCTTCCATGTTCTGCTGGGGTGGGCCTTCCTTAATTTGCTGCAGCCTTCTCAGCAACTCTTCTTCAGTAATTTCACCTGCGGAAATAGTTTTCAAGAGGTGTTCCAGATAAACCATGATTTTTATTTAAAATTCTGATGAATCTGATAAGCACAGGTAACAACTTTCCAAATTATCATTATCCTGGGAGGCTCCCAAGCGAAAGATTAGAGAAAAGAAAAGTGGGGGTGGTGGAGGGGGGGAATGGCACAGACCAAGAAACAGTAAGCTATCAGAGATGCCACTTGTTTAAAGAGGTATAAGAAGTCAGGTCACATGGAGGCAGTTCTCCAAGATAGGCCTTCTGTTGAAAGAGTATATTTTCTTTGGCACAAAGGTCAGGTATATTTAAAGAGAGACCTGTGACTTCCAGGGCTGTGCATCTCACTGGGTCCAGATTATTTAGGATCTGGGAAGTGCCCACTAGGCAGGTATGTAGCCTGTATGGTATTTGCTTGACAGTTCAATTCCTAAACTACTGCTAAACAGTTTGTGTGAGGATTGTGCAAGGATTGAAAGATGAGAGGTAGCACATACCACTACAGATCAATTTTCACATCCAAGGATTCCTTATTTGAAAGCACTCTTTGCTCACATGAGTTAATAGTATAGGAATCAGGTATGCCTGCAAAGCCATGAGGAAAGACTTGCTGAGACTGTGGCTTTAAGGACATGGCTGTGCTCAACTAAGAACACGATGAAAATGCCTTCACTCCCTCTTAGGAAAGCAAGCACCCCATGTGTAGAAGACAGACTGGATGCTAAGGGAGAGAGATGTCTGCAAAACTGACCGTCACCCACCCTTCCCAGGTAGCTCAGCTGGTTCTGATATATTTCAGCACCAGGTGAAGACCATCATTTACAACTGATAGGTTTTATCTGGCTTTTAAAATGCTCTTCTGACCATCGCCTTCTGTTGTATGTATCTCAATTCTGTTGTATTATTTTAACTACAGTATATCAAAATTTTGTACAACTACTTTGTGAGGTTGTATACCTGAAGAACAGTAAATAAAACATGAATTGAGAGATGTCTGTTTTGTCTCAGAAAAAAAGCAGTGCACCCATAAGCAAATGAGAAGTGAAAAGAGAAATATCCAACTCAATAAAAGTCAGGCATAGTAGTAAAAACAAAAGCAAGCATTCTATTCTATACTGAATAGCTACCTTCACGTCAAAGAGCTACAGGAAGGCTGAACAAAGCATGAGACTTGTGGGCTCCCCTTCCCACACCACCTGAAGGAGGGCTTCTGCAGAGACTAGTGTCACTTTGCGAAGAATGTTGGCTTGTTGGATCATACAAACAAGGAATTCCAGCTTACAACAAATTCTAGTAAGTTTTGAAACATGACAGCTTCAAAACAAGGGTTATGAAGGTGGCTTGTTACACTGGATTGGTTCTTTACATGACATATGGCGATATTCTTATAAAGTGAAAAAAATCTCCACAGAAGTTCTACTCCCAACAATACAGGAGGAGGGAAGGCAGCTCACCTGTGCAGTGCTAACCACACTTTAGAATTATAAGCCAATGTGGTTGGTATGTAGTAAGATGGCAAGGAGGAAAAGAAAACTACTGGCTCAGATGCTGCTAGGTCTGACATAATATAAATCTCAGCATGCCAGAGATTGTTGAAGTGAGACACCACAGCTAAATATATATATATATTTTAAAAAGAGACAACAGTAGAAGAAGCATTACAGACTGAACCCAAAATGAAGTTCCAAAACTGAGAAGGAAGCATGATGAATCAAAGACAGGCAATAGTCCATAACAAATAACAGAAAGAGAAAAGGGAAAGAAAAAATTAGAACTTGACAGCAGGGTCTGCACTAAGGGAAAGTAAGAACCAGCAACATAAACTGGGTTTGGGGGGGGAAACTGAAAGAAAAGAGAACGAAGGAGTTTACAAAACACCTCCAAAGGGAACAACATAACAAGAAAAGGGAAATGATATTCAATTTAAATTCAGCCACCAATCACAATTAGTCCAAGACTCACAAAGGTGTGCAAAAAGAAGTAGTGAGGAGTGACCTGCAACGCTCTGAAATACCTGTTTGAAAGTATATTGTCTGAACAGACAATTAAATAAATGGAAGCAGGAGGGAGTGTTGTATAATACAGGCCATAATAGGGGCGATAGGAATCAGCAAAGTTGTTTTTATAACCAAGTAGTGAGAACAGGCAATCATAAGAGGGGGGAGACATTTATTCTAATGAATATACCACAAGTAAAACAATAGAAAGGGTGACCAAGTTCAAAAAATACAAATGCTGAGGGCAAAAAAATGTTTCTAAGACAGGATTGGGGGGCGGGGGGACACTAGAACTGTTTTTGCCAAATGCTAAATAGCCACAACAAACCTGAGTGGTGACGTGGATTTGTAAGAAATATAAACAGCTGGAAAAATGTCAATAGTGAAAGAATGGACATGCGTTGCACTTGTGTACACAAGCTAACAGTCCAAATCAGCACTGATTTTTTAAAAGGTCAGCTTATGGAAAAGAAAAAAGCTAAACAATGCAAGCTCATCAAGAAAAAAGAAAAGAAAAGTAGAAGGTAGCTGGTAGGGTCAGGAATTGATGGATCAAAACAGTTTTGGTTGACCATCAGTCTGTCAAAAAAAATTGAAGCACCCCAAGCCCACACAAGGATGGGAGACATGGGCAGTTGAAGGCAGTGATTTTTGCCATAGAAAACTGTCTGGAGAGGACTGCAGTTGTAACAGGTGGTCAGAAGTAGCATCTCTGCTCTGCCACTAACTAGGTTTGCTTCTCATCTGCAGCAGGGCTGGGGGAGTGGGGAGAGGAGCTGCCTTCAATCCTTTAGTAAAGTGAAGCTGATACCTGCACAGTAGTGCTTTTTCGCTTCATTGTGCATTGCTTCTTTGAATGATATCATGGTCAAATGCCACCAAGACAGCTGACCAGCACGGCCGCACTAGTTCCTGGAGAACACAATATGCCTTACATGTTGAAAGCAAGAGCCCTTCAGAATACCATGTGTAATCAATTTTGACATAAGCAATTATTTTCAACCCTTGTTTCTGAGTTAAGAGCTAGTAAATTTTGATCACATCTCAGTGGCAGAATTTCCACACCTGAAAAGGATTTTAATTGCATCCAGCACATGAAGTAACATACCAGGGGTGCCTAGCAAATTGTTATCCCTCATTAGCCTGTAGTCTTCTTCACTCAGATTATTCACGAAGTGATAGAAAGCTTCTTCCCGATCCAGGCGGTCCAGCTGACTCCGACGCTGTGCTTCAGACTGAGCGACACTTCCTTTATTATTAGAATCTGAGCTTTCCATGTTGATCAAAGTAGGGAAAATGTCTACAAAAAAGGAAACAGTCAAATTGTTTGGAGAACCATATAATCCTGGCCCTATATACCAGAAGAGTTAAGTTTTAATCTGTGGGTGCAACATAATTTTACAGAAACATTAAAAAATAACAGACTGAAATAATGGTTAAATAATGGTTCTGTTTCTTAAGTATTTCAGGCTCTTTTTAAAAAACCCAATCCTAAATATCTAGCCCAGGTCTAGATACCAAATGGGCTCATACCAAGTGGGCTGTAAGCACACTTCCTGAAACAGAAACCTGCACGCCACACACTGTCTTGGTGTGGGGGGAAGCCAAAATTTGACACACACACACACACCCCAATCTCCGCTAGTGAGGGTTTGGGAAAGAGGCGGGAGGACTCTAAGCCTCAGGCCTCCTTTCCAAAGCCCAGCACTTCACTTGCCAGCTTTGGGAAGACAGTGTAAAAGGGGGGGGGGGGGTTTCAAATGTTGCTGAAGGCTGCCAAAAAAGATCCCAAGGGAAACATTCAGACCATTTTATTCTCCAAGAATTTTAACACGCGGCTACCAATTTTATTGCTCTTTTCTCTTCCTATTTATACAATTTTAGCCTACATTTTGCTGCTGGCTATAATAAATTTTAATTAAAAAAAAATGGTGTACATTCTTACTATTTGTTACCTGCTTTGGCATCATAAATAAAAGAGAATACCATGCAGAACAGTGAAAAAATATGCAAAGGAAGATTTGCAAAGATACAAACATATTTAGTTTTTAGTTTTAACTGCAGTAATCTATTCCATTAGTCAGGGGCCATAAGCGGAGGGCTTTCCATTGTCTACTATGACCAGAGGACCATGCTGCCAACCAGAAATCACTTGATATGCCACACAGCATTGTCACCCAAGCCTAAGTGAATAACTTTTGAGAGAAGTACCAGAAAACCATCACAATTCTCCACCAGCTAGGTCACTTAGCTCCCATCAATTTATATATTCAAAAACACCCACAACCACAAAATTAGCACCTCATAACTGAAAAGATGTTTGAGGGTTTATATGTGGTTTCTGCAAGCAGACTGCTTAGTGGAAAGAGTGTTTTAATATATCCTGCAACCAAATATCCAATCACTTCAAACTACAGCTGCTAGCAGTCTGCTAAATGTGAAACATGCACACACTGGGGGGAAAAATCAGGTTCAAAATAAAGGACACAAAATAATACAAAATAAAATAAGGGCCAAAGTAGACAATTGTTAGCTCCAAATCTGTGCCCTGAAGTGCAGGATGTACATTTGTTTTCTTCTCCATAAATTGGAGCAGGGGTCTAAAGGAGATCATGAGCATAACATGGGGGCTGGGGCTTTAATCCTTTCCCCCCTGCTATTGTCCCCACCACCAGAAATTTGATGCAAATGGAAAGTACCCCCCCCCCCCCCCGCTAATGCAAAATGCTCTAACATGGCCCACCAATCCAAATTGGAGACATAGTTGGGGCAAAGGATTAAAAGCACCCCTAACCGCCCAAAACAAAACAAAAACAAAACCCCAAACTTGAGGGCATTACCATCACTACTAGATCAGGTGACCATAAATAAAAGTTCTTTGAAACATGCCATGTAATTTTTCATATGAGATATTTACAACAAAATTATTGCCTCAGCTATGGCCCATCCACCACCTATGACCCTTTCGGGAAAGGAATAACATGGCCACTGTAATCCAGACTGGATTACTGCAATGCTCTGCTGCAGGGGTTGCCCTTGAAGACAGCTTGGAAACTTCCATTGGTCCAAACAAACTGCAGAAGATAGATTACTGGCTGGGGTTTCATTTAGATCTCAACACAGCCTCAACAGCTGTATTGGTTGCCAGATCATTTTTGGACCCAATTCAAGGTGTTCATGTTAGTATTTAAAGCCCCAAGCAGACCTACACACTTTTTCATGTGTTAAGATTGGTAAGATCTTGGTAGTTCTGCCCTCAGAAGCTTGCATGTCTGTGGCCCAGGAGAGGTCATCATTCTCTGTGTCAAGCCCTTGTTTGTGAAACTCCCCCTATAGAGGCTGGAAATCTGGGTCCTGCTAGGCCTACATATGCATCACACCCAGCAGTTATGGTATGTTTTATGCACACTGTAGAGCAGTCATGATGGATCAGAATGGATGACACTATGTCACAGCTGAAGAAACTGCTCAAGTCGACTTTTGTGTATATATTTGCTGCTTTCAATAAGGGTCATGAAGACCTTGGCATCGGTTGGAGTGGCTGTAAAAGGAGCCATGGTGCCAACAAAAAAGTTAAGGTATAACGTGTTTCGGCAAACCAGCACTAGATATGTGTCAAAGTTCGCTGCGTGAGGAATAGCTGATACAGCAGCGGCCCTAGTTGCCCATTTTTCTGCCTTCCGGATAGATGGTGGTAATTCATTGTCTACATCTTATGTGGTCTGCCCACAGGAACAATAAAATTAATGGAAAAACTCAATGGAAAGGTCCAGCCCCCTGGTTCCATTGCTAATTGATATAAAAGGATATAAAATCACTTTGACTGATTGCTTTGTCAATTATACTTAATTCATATGCAAAACATATCCAATTGCCTTATGCTTTAAATATAATATTTTATCTAATTTTATCCAATTCTATTTTCTAAGTAACATGTGTTTTGTTTCATTTAATTTTTTTAAGCTTTATATATCAATAAATGGATTAATTTAAAGTTACTCTCTGTAGTCTGTGAGGTTTTTTTTAATTACTTTGTATGCGTTCCTTCCTGTTCTACTTTATAATGTATTTTAGATTGTTGTAACCTGCCCTTACACCTTAGGGTGAAGGGTGAGTATTAAAATAAAATAAAATAAAAGCAGCAGCAGCAACAACAACAATATATTCTTCCCCTAAAGAGTTCATTGTAATGTACATAGTTCCTTCACAACAACCCTGTGAGGTTGATCAGAGGGAGTGTATTTGACTGGCTAAGTGGCTCCTAAAGAGAATAATGGTTGAGTAAAGATTTGAATCTAATCTTCCCTGGTTTTAGTCCAGATATGAGAAGTCTCTATCTGAAACATCGTATCAGTTGTAAAAATCAATAAGGTATGGGTCTTCTATTTCAGGCAATCAGCAGTGCCACCAAACTCCATAAGTAAAACCAAAGTGAAATATGTGTGCAGTATCTGTTTTTCAACATTCTGCTATATCATCATACTGATATATCACAATGTCTGAAATAAGGATGGAGTTATGTAGAGGCATTGGCTGGCTTCATAGCTTTTCCCACATTGTGATTTTTGTATAGCGCGCGCGCACACACACACACACACACACACACACACAAAACAGGGGGTGCATGGCCTGTTACCTGCAGATCCTGGATTTCTGTACCAAGCCAGAAGTAAATACAAAAATGACAAGAAAACAAATGCCTATGAAAGTCATTGGTGACATAGCAGTGACTGAAAACCATTTTCCTGTTTGTCACCTGGACAACATTCTTATCCCACATAATTAGGGAAGTTGCTCTTTCCAAGCCTGTGGTTTAGAATGAGTAAGTAAGAGATTAAAGGTATCTGAGGAGTGAACTTCTTCATAGAGCCCAAATCTCCTTTCCTACACATACTCACATGGAAGAGTGAGGCACAACTGCCCTACAAACTAATTAATTACAGAATATCTAACGTGCAATACTGAGAAGCAGAAAGAGTGCAGTACATATTTTTCCCTTGGAAGGTGGTGGACTCTCTTTATTGGAGGTTTATAGGCAGAGGTTGGATGGCCATCTTCCATGGATGCTGTAGTTGAGATTCCTGCATTGCAGGGGGAGGGGGACTAGATGACCCTTGCAGTCCCTTCCAACGTTACAGTTCTATGATTCTATTATCATGGTCACAAGAGCTTGAGCCAAAGCTCAAAGTCCATTTGCTTCCAGGGATGCAGTGAAAATCTGAATCATGACACTATAACTACCAGTCAATACACCTATCAACTTGCTTTTCACCCCAAGGCTCTTCTGGAAGCACACAGAAGCCCAGAAAAACTCTTCCTACAACAGTGATGAGCAGAGAGCTGTGGATTGTAGCCAACTATGCCCATCTGTGAGGGCAATCAGGCTGGGGTGTGTGTGTATACAAGGGAAAGAGCTTTTTCAACAATGGCTCCACATTTGTGGAACCTGATCCAGGTATAAGACAAGCTCTTCATTATCAAGCCTATATGTGGGTCTATGGCTTTTTCTTGATTTTATTTAGGCAGCTGAAATATATGGTGCTACTTTACTGACACTGTATTTAATTTTAAGGTTTGACAGGGTAAGGTTTCTGTTTTAATGTATTCACAGGCTATTCACTATATTCATATTTATTTTACTGTTACAGTGGTACCTCGGGTTACATATGCTTCAGGTTACATACGTTTCAGGTTACAGACTCGCTAACCCAGAAATATTACCTCAGGTTAAGAACTTTGCTTCAGGATGAGAACAGAAATTGTGCAGTGGCGGCACAGCGGCCCCATTAGCTAAAGTGGTGATTCAGGTTAAGAATGGACCTCCGGAACGAATTAAGTACTTAACCCGAGGTACCACTGTACTCATTTTTACACTTATATGTTTTAATTACCATTTTTATATACATGTGTGGCCAATGTAACCTGTGTCTGATGCATCTTGTTGGGAAGTTTTTGTTTTTTTAAGTTGGGTTATAAACCTATGGAAATGAAGAGTCCACCAAAGCTTGTGCCATAATAAGCGTCTTAGTTTTTAAGGTGCCACAGGCTTTTATTTTACCTACCAACGGAACCAACACTAATGGAACAGCATTGCTGGCCAGCAAGAACTTTGGAAGTGTTCCCAGAGGAGCAGGGAACACTTCCACTTAATTGGATTCTTGACACTATCCAAGTTCCTGTCACTATCCTCCCTATCTCCCACAATTTATTATCAACTGGTGGAGCTCCGAAGAAAAAAATATATCAAAGCTGTTTACAACACATTAAAACATCAAATAAAACAATCCAGAATAAAACAAATTCAAGCTTCAATGAAAATATTTCAGATCCTTCTCTAGGTGACATTTTGCTTTCCCTGTATTGATTTACCTACTTAATTTATATCACTGCCCCATAGCAGAAGTGCTCTGGGAAGCCAGTGTGGTGTAGTGTTAGAATGCTGGACTAGGACCTGGGAGACCAGGGTTCAAATGTCCACTCAGTCATGAAGCTCACTGGGTGACCTTAGGCCAGGCACAGCCTTTTAACCTTCCTCACAGGGTGATTGCAGAGATTAACTGAGGAGGGGGTGAACCATGTATTCCACCTTGGAAATAAAGGTGGGATATAAACGCAATAAGTAAGTTCTTCTGCTTACCTGCTTAAGAAAGCTGGAGAGGCTATCCAGATGGAGATGTCAGTTGCCATCCTGGCATCCAGAGATCTCCACATGGTCACAATTGGGCCCACACCAGTAGCAAAATGCACCTAGCACCCGGCTAATTTCTAACACTGTCTCGGGGTCATGGGTTCGAGCCCACCATTGGGTTAAAGATTCCTGCACTGCAGGGGGTTAGCCTAAATGATCCTCATGGTCCCTTCCAATGCTACAATTCTCTGATATTACCATATTTATAAAGCATTTTATACTATTCAATACGTTGACCATCATGAATTCTAAAAAATTATCTGATATCATAGACCTAATTATGTCTACATAAATTGTCAAATTCAACTTCTTTGAATTTGAGAAGCAATTTAAAATGCAATACTTTTTTTCAGCAAGAAGGGAAAGTCAAGTGACACTTGACACACGATTCCTGGAAATACAGGTTGCAGTGTCCAGAACAAGCAGTACCAACTTCCACTTTATAATACCTAACTGCAAGGTCAAAACAGGATCTTTAAGCACAATATTTAAGTCTCTACAAATCACAAGGCCTTCTCTCCAACATAATTATTTAAAAATTCATTTCCTACTTTTCACCATGGTGGACTCAAAATGTCTTAGAACAATTAAAATTACAAAATTTTAAACAAATTAAACTTTTTTAAACCTCAAGAATTAAAAATGTCAAAACAATGCATTATGTAAAACAAACGGCAACAGTGTGATAACACGAAGTGCAGAAATAGTTTTGCCATTTATTCTGCTTATATGAAACCAGAGTACAGGATTCTATTAAAGACAGCATTCTCAAAGACTGGCTGAAAAATTCCACCACTATAAATGTTTCAGGAAAGCAGAGGTCTTACAATTCTCACTAGTCCCAAAGGTCTCTGAAGACTAGGTTCAAGTGACAGTGACACTGACCTGTTGTTTCCCCCTTACCACCAATTTTACTCCCACAATGGTCAAGTACCCTCTGGAAAGGAACAGTGGCAACCAAGCCCATCCTAAATGTGTCACCCCCACATGAATGCCAATGAATACTCAGACACTATATCAGAATCAATGCCCAAAGAGCAACATTCCATAAGTAAGATCATGCTAGACTATATGTAGTATCAGACCCTCTTAATACAACCTTGTCAACAACTGAATACAGTGATACCTCAGGTTACATACACTTCAGGTTACATACGCTTCAGGTTACAGACTCTGCTAACCCAGAAATATTATCTCGGGTTAAGAACTTTACTTCAGGATGAGAACAGAAATCGTGCTCTGGTGGCGCGGCGGCAGCAGGAGGCCCCCATTAGCTAAAGTGGTCTTCAGGTTAAGAACAGTTTCAGGTTAAGAACGGACCTCCAGAACGAATTAAGTGCGTAACCAGAGGTACGACTGTACACACATCACATTAATTGATGTCTACTGTTATGTTTGTACCTTTGCTAAACATCATTAATGCTAACCAGGGTTTGAAACTGGATTGCAGAAGCCGATTAATGCTACACTGTGGTTAAGAAAAATTGGGGCGGCGGGGAGAGATGGCCTGCTTATCTCTTAAGCACAGAGCTACAAGTGATGCAACCCCTCACCCCAGAATTTACAGGAACCACTCAAAGACTGGAGGAACAACAAAAAGTGCATATAAAACACTAGAACTACACTGCATTTTTAGTAGAAACCGTAGGAGCAGAAACAAGCTGGACAGGGAAAAGACAGCAAGTAGTAACTGCGAGAAGAACTGACAGTTGTACACTTCACTTGCCTAAAGCAGTTTTAACTCACTCCAGAGCCTCCTTCAGGCACCTCCCCACTTGTACATGTAGGGCCACTTCAAGAGGATCAAGCCATTGTGCTTTTAGGCAACATAATTAGTATTACAATCTCACCGCCTCACTATAACAAATCTACCATTTAGGATTGTTTTTGATCCACTCAGTCTAGTAAAGGTATCCTGATAAACACAAAATTTGCAAGGCCATGTGTAGCTCACTTAAAAAATAATAATACATAAATTGTGAATGCAGAGGCATCAGTTTCAGTTAAGTATTCCAATATGGGTTCCTAGAAAGGAACAACCCATTTCTGTAAGCCTCCTCCTTTATATAAGCATACTAGTAAAATTTGCCACCGAGGTTAAGTTTTTGAGACTTGCAGTTTTTAGATTAAATATTAAGCAGGAAACATTTTAGAAAGACCCTAGCAGCAAAAAAACCCCATGCATACTATTTTCTGACCACACAATACACAAAATAAGAGGACAATTCTTCTCTAACCCGGACAGTCAAATCACACAAATATATCCCGGATTTTTTATAACTGCTCCAAATTAAACACTGGCATTCTTGGCATTAATTTTTTTCTGAGCTTGGCAGGAAGTGAGACACTGCACAGTGGTACCTCTGGATATGAACGCTTCTGGTTGCACATGCGTCGGGTTACAAGCTGCGCTAACCCAGAAGTAGTTGCTCCCGGATGCGAACTTTGCTCCGAGATGCGAGCGGAAATCGCGCTTCGGAGGCGCGTGTGCAGCAGGAGACACTCTTTCGCTAATGGCTCCTCATGTTAAGAACAGTTTCAGGATAAGAACAGACCTCTGGAATGAATTAAGTTTGTAACCAGAGGTACAGTGACACCTCTAAAGAGAAATAAAGCTTAACAGTTATTAGTCAGTAAACAACTGGTTACTCCCCTATCATGACAAACAAATATACATAGACACCTTTACAGTATTCTCTTTCATTCCCATTTGTTTTTACCCATACCTGAAAACCTGGACAGCTTCTGCCAGTCAGTGTAGATAATACCGAACTAGATGTACCAATGGTCTGATTCAGTATGAGGCAGTTTCCTATGTCCCTGACTTTTAAGATACTGGAAAGTCTCCTCCCCTCCAACAATTTTACTCACTGTCTGCCTGCCCCTTGTCCTTGAAGGTTCCTCCCACAACAGCTACCTGCAATGTCTTTAAATCCCACCATTCCTGTGAAGGCTTTTAGCTCAAGCCTTTATTCCACATCCCCAAATGGAATAAATGTTATGTTAAGGAGCAAATGTGTGCAAATACAGGTGTTATCCTTGCCTTCCCTGGTTGTCTGTTCCCCCAGTTTAGATTGCAGGATGTTTTGGGCAGGGTCTGAGATCCAACTTTTTGCCTTCATTTACTTGTGTAAGGTATAATGCACAATGATGCCATCATATAACAGCTTTCTAAAAACTTGGATTGGACTTTAATATTGACTATTAAAGATTGAAGTATTTTACTTTAAAGGTAAAAAAAAGGTAAAGGACCCCTGGATGATTAAGTCCAGTCAAAGGCAACTATGGGGTTGTGGTGCTCATCTCACTTTCAGGCCAAGGGAGCCAAGTGTTTGTCCACAGACAGCTTTCCGGGTTATGTGGCCAGTGTGACTAAACCACTTCTGGGGCAACTGAACACTGTGACGGAAACCATAGCGAATGGAAACGCTGTTTACCTGCCCGCCACAGCGGTACCTATTTATCTACTCACACTGGCGTGCTTTCGAACTGCTAGGTTGGCAGGAGCTGGGACAGAGCAACGGGAGCTCACCCTGTCACAGAGATTCGAACCACCAACCTTCTGGTCAGCAAGCCCAAGACGCTCAGTGGTTTAGACCACAGTGCCACCCATATCCCTTGTTTACTTTAATACTGCTCTGATCATCAGTTGAAGCCAGTTGCACTTTCTTCTCCATGCCAACATTTGGAGAGGAACAGCTTCTTTACATTACCTGTACCACGAACATAACTAGCACAGTAGATAAGGCAAATAAAGAAGGCACCTCAGGCTAACAATATAACTCTCATGGACCCACTCTGCACATCATGAAGTAATCTAACCCCTAGTTTTAACTTAGTTCCAGTTAGTATCAGGTAAAGATTGTCCGAAGTTCATCAATATAATTATAAGTGAAAATCCAAATATTCTGATACAATGACTTGAATTTTATGATAAACAAAGCTCAAATTAAAAGTCAAAGGATATTGTTTTAATTGTTCCTATTTTAAAAGCTGCGTGGTTTCTGTTGATCCACCCCAGCCCCCCAGAATATCACCTGCCAAAGGCAGTAAAAGGTACACCATAATTTAGGTTATAGTATAAAACGTCAGAAAGTGAAAACAAATGTAGTGTTTTGCCCTTCCTGACAGAATCATGCAATAAGCATGTTGAGATTTACCCCCGAGAGAGATTATTGAGAAATTAAGACATCTCTAGCACAGAAAAAGGAGGACCAGATTTCTGGAAGTAAGAACATCAATGAAGCACTAATTCTGGTTGGGATTTCCCCACCAGGACTATGAGGTTCAGTGAACAGCAATGACAAGAGGAGGTGTAATGATATAGCAACTAACCTCAGTGATACCCTCCTTGAAACTGTCTAAATATTTAAGTTGGGCTACCAGCCTAAGAACTCACTTTCTTTCCCAGCAACAAAAATCATCAATGGGTCTTTCACTGTATTTCCCCTTCCCTAAAAAGGAAGATCAGGCTACTGATTATGCCTTTTGTACATGGGGGAGTGTAGCATGTCTAGGTAGGGCTGACAAGGGACTCCTGCCTGGCTGAGACCCCTGGGAGCTGCTGCCAGTCAGCGCAGACAATACAGTTCAGTAAACAACTAGTTACTCCCCCATCAAGGCAAGCACATTATGAAATATATCTTCCTCATTTCTAACCAAGGCACCTTCATAGCCATGTTTCTGTCATTCACATTTATTTTTACCCATACCTAAAATCCCGAAGAGCTGCTGCCAGCCATGCGCTACATGGACCGAAGACCGGATCACTAGCTCAAGCCGGTACAGCATGAGACTCTTAATCCGGAGGTCGTGGGTTTGAGCCCCACGTTGGCTGAAAGATTCCTGCATTGCAGGGGACTGGGCTAGATGGCCCTCATGGCCCACTTAGAACTCTACAATTCTAGGAGTCGGTATACGACAACGTTCCTATGTTCCTAAAGGAAAACCTCCACCCTGGGCGAGCCAGCAAGGCCCACCGGTGACAGCGGACCTCAGCCAGGGCGATATATTGGGCAGGCCCCTGAAAGAAATCGAGCAGCTCACGCGGGTGGGTGAATAGGCGGCGGCTGAGAGAGCCGGTAGGGGCCCCTGCCCCCCTCTTCACAGCCTACCCGCGACCCAGCCCCAACGAGACGGCTCCGGCTGCCGTGTTCCCCGCTCGCTCCGGCGAGAAGCGGTACGGCTGTGGAAAGACCACCGCCGTCGAGCCAGGCTTGGCCGGCTCTCCGCGGCCAGACCGGTGAGCCCGCCCGGGCGCCCGCTCGGCTCGGTCACTCACCGCCTCCCTCCTCTTCCAGCTCGTCCGCCGCCCTTCCGGGGTCTCCGTCCGGCGATCAGCCCCGCAGCGGCCTGAAGCTCAGGTCCGTCACGTCCCGCTCCCCTTCTTCTTCTTTCTCCTCCTCCTCGTCGTCGCTAAAGCCCCGGCAGCGTCTGGAGCCCGACCCCCGACCCCTCCTCCTTCTTCTTCTCCCTTCCCTCTCCCGTCGCTCACTCAAGCGGCCATCTTACTCTCCATTGTTACTAAGGAACTTGGGGGCCGGAAACGGTGCGTTTCGGCGGGGGAGGGAGGGGGGAGGAGTAGACTCCGTTGGCTTTCGACGGCGCGCGCAACAGAGGAAGTGACGCACTTTCCCCGCCCTTCACCTCAGCACACCTCAGATCCTCTCCAGCGAGCGCATGCGCCTCTTCAGCGTGATGTGTAAAAGGCCGAAGGGACGGAGCATAGAGTCGGGAAAACTGGAAGGGAGGAAGCGGACTTCTACTCGCTGGTCTTTGGGGCGTCCATTTTTAATAGGAGCCAAACCAATTAAAGAGGAATGGGGGGGGGAGAGATTCCGTAATTATAATCTTCTTCTTCATTTTTAAGGAATTGAGAAAGTTGGGGAATTTTTGAGAGAGGGAGTAAGCAAAACAGGTCATAGCATACTTTTGAGAATGGCTGTGTTTCTGTATAGAGTGGCTCCAGAATGTAGCCCGCGGCAGTGTCAGGTTAAATTCCCTTCCCGAAGGAGATAATCAACCAGTGCTTGGGCTGTACCATGTTAGAGTATAGGTGGCCCCTCACATGTTGGAATGCTCCTCCAGTTAAAAGAATAATAACCCTAGTATTCTCCCACCCCCCACTCCACGTAGAAAAGTAGTATGGCGGGCGGGAAAGGTTGCCTGCCATGCTGATGTCTCAATATACAGTACAGGGCTTTGGGTTGCTTTAAAGAGGGAAATATGCAGAATTCTTCCAAGCTCGCTGTGCGGCTTCCTAATCAATGCACGTGGGTCTCGCTATCCAAATGCTTGTTATACAAAAATCCATTTATCCAAACACTATGAATTAGTACCCAAACCCATGCTACACACACTGCAGATTCAGATATCCCAACAACCAGATCTGTGTGTAGTACTGTGGATAAGCAGCTTTGAATAAGCCTGCCTTTTTGTGTTTTGCTGGTCCACGGCAGCCGTTTTTCCAGAGGGGGAGGCAAGGGAAGATACAAGACAAATAAGGAGCATTTTTTTCCTTTCTTGTTTGCTTTTTGCAAGGTATTAGAGCAATTTCCAGTGTTTTCTCAGCCCCCCCCCCCCCCGCTTCATTTTGGAGTAAAGATTCTGTGGTCAGGAACGCGTTAGAAATTTCCCCGAAGGAGTCAATGGAAATTTTGTTAGGCGAACGCTCGCCTAGCAAAATGATTTCTTGAGAACGCACTGTGTCTGAACACAGTACCTGTAATGTACAAGTAGCACACAGGGTACATCTGTGTTGTGAGGGTATAATCCCACAATGCACAATGCCATGGGGGTAGAAATCCTCTGTACTAAATCTCTATAGTTCTGGGTGCCACATTTTAAGTCGAAACAATAAAAGATTGAAAGAGCTGGATACGTTTAACCTGCAGAAGAGAAAATCAGTGGGAGGCATAGTTATTTCTCTGTCTCAAGCATAGCAAGTGTGATGTGTTGTGACCCATGTGTTGTGACCCAAATCTCATCAGCCCCAGCTAGACATGGCCAATGGTCAGGTATAATGGGAGATTGCAGAGCTGGAAAGGGTTCAGAAAAGGACAGCCAAAATGATCAAGGGGTTGGAGCGACTCTCTTGTGAGGAAAGGTTGCACTTCTTGGGGCATTTAAGTTTAGGAAAAAGGTGAGTAAGAGGCACTGCTGGGAGTTTATAGAATTATTCCTGGAAGCTGAATGTTAGAAGATTCAGGAAAAATAGAGTACTTCTTTATGCAGCACACAGTTAAAGGGCTCGTCCACACTTCTGCTTGTCCCTTGCATAGAAAGTACAGGTCTGAGCAGTTTTCTGCTTGCCCCATGCTTTCTAATTTTTTAATTGAATTTATTTCATCATACAATGCAATAAAATAACGACAATGAAACAAAGAAAGATCAAAGAAAGTACAAAGCCCTCTTACACAGCAGGGGTGGGACCCTCCCAACTCTCACTTGGGAGCTTTCTTATCTTCTCCCAGCCTCCCAATCTGGGAGATCTTCCCTCCTTTTATTCTCACACAGGTTCCTTCACCAGCCATCCATCACTTTAATGAGTGTACAGTTCCCTCAATGGCCCGGAGTAGAGAGGACACAAAACGAAATGAAAACAAAGCAAGGGAAAAAGAGAGGAGATAAAAATAATGAAAGGAGAAAATAAAAAAGGGAAAAGAGAAATAAAAAACAAGTTCCCCTTTTCCATCTGTCAGTTACATACAAAACGATTATTCAAAATATCCACTGTTAGCATGACATCCAGCTGTTCTTCTGCTAAGCAATATTTTCCCACTCTTAAGATCCAAATGTCTCAAATTCATTCATTTTCCATTCCATACAAAAGTCTAAAATGAGTTATTTATTTGTCTTTGTTCACACAAGAGTCTCTCCACTGTGTTCATATGTTAAAATAACATTCCATAGTTATTCACTTATTGATATTCATTAATTCACACCCAGTTCCATATCTTCTGATCCCACTTCCTGTTCTATTTGCTGTGATTTCCCAAACTTTTAAAATATTTTTTTAAAAAAAAATTCTTCCATTTCTGCTTCTTCCATTCTTTTTCCAAGAGCTGGGCAGCTTTTTCCTCTGAACTGACTACAAATTATCTCTTGATCTCTCTGTCCATGACTTCCTTCCACTCCTCCAACATCATATCTCTGCCATTTAGCTATTTCATTCCTTTAGACATGTTTGCAAAGGATTTCTCCATTTCATCATCTACTGCCTCCTAACTTCCCTGGGATTCCTTCTCCAGGAGTTTTTGTCCAATGTGTGTCAGTAAGAAGTCTAAGGCTGTGCGGACCTACGCATGGAAAGAGTGGAAGAAAAATAAGTGCAGATAAGCCTAAAGAGCAGGTTTTCCCCTGGGGGAAAGTGGCGAGACAAGCAACCATGTTTAAGGCTTTCTTTTGTTACTGCCTCAATGACTGCTATTTCATCCATTTACTCAGTTAGCTGGAGCAAGGGTACCTATCAAGATTTTGGGAGATGCATAAAGTCAGAACTCACTACAGGTGTCAAAGTATCCTCTCCCTACTTGTGTTCTAGCCCAGACTTGCTGGGGGTTTAGGTCAAGGGGTGAGGCTACACACTTGTGTAATGTAATCAGGGCAAGAGTGTAATTTTTCACAATAATTAGTTGGGCTAGTTTTTGTGAATGTGAGTAGTGTAATCTCTGCGTTTGGTATGTCACACTGCGGTTTTCTGATTTTGCGTTCCCTCTATGCGGAGGGGTTGCAAAGTGATTCCCTCAAACCTTCAAGTTATCTGTGTCCGTTCCCTTCTCCCTCAGAGACTTAAACGGAACTTAAGGGGTGAGGAATCTTGATGAGTAATTCAGGATTGTTTCTGTGAAGAGATTCGACACTTCTCCTCAGAACAGACAGTGATGTGGTCAAGCTGGACACAGATATGGGAGCAGTGCTCTAGCTGTAGAGCCCCCCCCCCCCGCCTTTTTTCTTCCCCCCCACCATGGAGGTGCTAGAATTTCAGAATCAACATGTTTCTCTTTAGAGAGCTGTTTGTCCCTCCCCAAGGCTTGGAGCACCCTCAGAAAGGTGCTGCATTTTTGACTGACTCCCGTTGGGCCCTTCTGCTGCAGCGACAGACTTCCGCAATGTTGGGCGTGCCTGATTCAAAACATTGTTTTCCCCCTCCTACTTTCCCTCCTCCTAGGGATAACTTATTTATTTAATAAAATTTATATAAAGGTATGAGTCTGACCAAACTGCGGGAGGCAGTGGAAGACAGAAGTGCCTGGCGTGCTCTGGTCCATGGGGTCACGAAGAGTCGGACACGACTAAACAACAAAAAAGGTAAAGGGACCCCTGACCATTAGGTCCAGTCGTGGCCGACTCTGGGGTTGCGGTGCTCATCTCGCTTTATTGGCCGAGGGAGCCGGCGTACAGCTTCTGGGTCATGTGGCCATCATGACTAAGCCTCTTCTGGCGAATCAGAGCAGCACACGGAAACGCTGTTTACCTTCCTGCTGGAGCGGTACCTATTTATCTACTTTCACTTTGACGTGCTTTCGAACTGCTAGGTTGGCAGGATCAGGGACCGAGCAATGGGAGCTCACCCCGTCACGGGGATTCAGACCACCAACCTTCTGATTGGTAAGTCCTAGGCTCTGGGGTTTAACGCACAGCGCCACCCGCGTCCCAATAAAATTTATATACGCTTCATCATAAGAAAAAAACCTCAAAGCAGTTTACAAAAAAATAGAGGCATGTATAAGGGCAAGTTGGTTCTTCTAAAGAGCTTCAGTTTGAAAGTAATTCATTTTTCCTCATGAGTTCATGAAGAGTTTAGAGGCTCCCCAAGAGGATGGATTGGAATTACCCTCCTACATGAAACTACAGGATGGATTTGCCCTTTTTCTAGTTTCAAGTTAGGCTTCCTTCGCTATTGAAAAGGTATTGTTATGAGTTTGTGGTGTTAAGCTGGGTTCCAGACCGTGTGTGTGTGTGTGTGTGTGTGTGTGTGTGTGTGTGTTAGTTAAGCCGGTTGTCAGACTCCTCTAAGCTCTGGATCCAAAAAGTGATAGAAGTTAATCAAGCCAGGCTAGCTTCCTGCTGAAGTTTAAGAACAGAGGAAGGGGCTCTGTTGGAGGCAGGCAAATGGGAGGTGCCCCTCGCTGAACTCGCAGACAGTGGAAGAGACAAAAGCCAGAGTTTTAGAATGGAGTTGGAAGGACTGTGATGTGAACTGGAAGGAAAACAGCAAGAAGAGAGAGAGAGAGAAGAAAAGAAAGAGAGAGAGAGAGAGAGAGAGAGAGAGAGAGAGAACCCTGCTGGAGCTCTGCTTGAATCCAAGGCTGTGGTTATGAGAGGAATAAGACCCTTTTTGGATGCTGATGCTGTGAGACCCTCCATCACCACATTCTTTGCTATGCCTCGTTCCCCAAAGGAAATCCCAAGACAGATGAATGCCAACAATGAATCTAGTGAAATGAGAACCGTGGAGCTGGCCCCTTCTGCCATATCTTCTCAGTTAAGATCCTCAACCAGACCTCTTCCACCAGACAGCTCTTTCACCTGGAGGCTGACTTCACTAGTTTTTTTATGGTAGGTCCTTTTTTGTAAATAAATTTTTTATTAGTTTTTC